TTGAGCCATATTTCTATTCCTGAACAATTACTGTGGCCAGGTGGATGGAGTACTCAAACCAGGCACAGGTCACAAGCTCACCACGAGAAGGCAGTGTCTGCCCTACTGGACCATCTAGACTAAGTTGAATTAATGTGGAATGGGGAGAGATGAGATTCTTCAAAGGAAATGCTTCTGGGCTGGCCTGTGGCTCACTCGGGAGAGTGCGGTGCTAACACCAAGGCCCCGGGTTCAGATCCCATATAGGGATGGCTGGTTAGCTCACTGGGAGAGCGTGGTGCTGACAACACCAAGTCAAGGGTTAAGATCCCCTTACCGGTCATCTTTATCAGCACCGCACTCTACCGAGTGAGCCACGGGCCGGCCCTTTACCGGTCATCTTTAAAAAAAAAAAAGGAAATGATTCTAAGTAGAAAATTTAAATGTGTCCTATAAAGCTGCAAAGATTCAGTGCCTTCTTTGTTTGTAGACTTTCTCTGTGTGGCTCTTTATCAAGAGATGAGTATTCAGGTTCTTGTCCCCATTAAGATGCTACCTTTGGGCCGGCCTGGTGGCACACTGGAGAGTGCGCCACTTGGGAGCGTGGCGGCACTTCCGCCGAGGGTTCAGATCCCATGTGGAGACCGGTTCCCGCTCACTGGCTGAGCGCGGTGCAGGCGCAACACCGAGGGTTGCGATCCCGTTACCGGTCAGTAAAAAAAAAAAAAAAAAAAAAAAAAAAGATGCTACCTTTGATGGAGCATCTGGGAGGATAGAGATTACAAATAAGGATCTTATAACCCTGCCGCCTGTTCTAAAAGCTTGGCAGAAGAAAAGAAAAAGCTCAATCATTTTGGAATTAGGAAGAGGCTGGAACTTGACTCTTGATTGTGTGACCTTGAGCTTCATAGAGGAAATGAAAGACTCCTCTATAGAAAGGCTAGCATTTGCATTTGTCTGAATTCATAAGATTAAGCTGTTTTAGCCTCATTAACATAGTCTCATGACCTAGATGAACTATTCTTTGTATATTATAAAAAGTTATCTCTCGGACCTTAGTATGAAGATGAGGAAGTTGCTAGTACTTTATGCCAATTCCAAGGAGCATTGCCACCATCTATCAGATTTATAAGTAAGCTGACCACCAAGTTTCAGTCCTCTCTTTTTGTTCTCAGTTTCCAGCTTATGGATTTTTCATGATGCAAATTATTTGGAGGTAGTTATTTTTATATACGCTCAGATGAAGTACGTATTTCCAAGTGATACTTTAAAAGCCAAATTCATCTTTGCATGGAAAAACGTCATTTAAGGCTGTTATTGATTTCTTCACATACATAGGTTGAAGGCAGCCATGGCAAAAGGTTAGGGAGTCCTTTCCTATAGTCTTGATTCTGAATTAGTCCAGTCAATGCCACTGAATCACAAAATGTAGCCCACTCAATAGCCCCAAGCAGCTAACAACTAGTGGCTATATAGAGTGCTCTCAACAGGTTCATGTAATGGCAAGATGATGCTGGAAAACAAAGGAAAAAATCAGACTCTTGCAAGAGCCATAAATGATGTGTGATTATGCAGCAGTAATTCTCTACAGGTGGGGGGATTAGTATGTTTTTAAAAAAGGAAATTTAGTCTTTTTCTGTTTTGTGTGTAAGTTTCTTTTTACTCTTTAAATAATATAAACTACAGAAAGAAAAGCTTTCTAGTTGGAGATATGCAGAAGATGCAGTGAGAAAGCACGAGGGTTATGAGTAAGAAACACAACTATAAAGAAACAACTGATTTTTCATTAACTTACCAGAACTGAGTGATTTCCCTTTCAAAAGAGTCATTTAGGAACAAAGTTCTTGATAATGCCTTAAAAGTCACAAGCAAATGATCAGGTACTTGAGTAAGTCGACAAAAGACAGAAAATGGATGGAGTTTATAGCTGTAATCAAACACACTAACCTGACTATGTGTCAGAGCTAATCTGACACATAATAGCAGCCATATTTATAAGGTGCTTTATAGTTTACATAACACTTTCTCACATTCTCTCATTTGTGACATATTTAATGACAGATATAATTGTGTTACATGCTAATTAAGCTTAATTAGTTCTTGTGAATGACTGTAAGTGGTGGGACTGGTTTGCTGCCAAAGCAAATTCTCAGTTCTCTTTTTACTTTATTAGCTACCTAGTATTTATAATCAGGATCAGTTTAAATCACATTCCCTGTTTTGCATCATACATGTTGATCCTCATATATATTAAGATACAAACTCCTGAAACCTTACTTCTAGAAGCTGATCTTTCCTTTCCTTACTCCAGGGCTTTCGTTGCTCTCAATCCCTACCAGTACTTCCTATTCCCACATCTCTCCCACTAGCACTCATACCTGGGGGAGACTTGTATATAACATTTAACAGTCATTCCTCAACAAATATTTATTGACTGCTGTGTGCCAGAGATTGAATAAGGCACTGGAAATATAAACAGTGTTGACAAGGCAGAATGGGTCCCTGCTCTCACGGAACTCACAGACTAAGTGGGTAGACAAAGCCTAGATTGGGGTGGGTGAGGAAGCTGGCAGACCTATTTGACTCTTTCACTAAACTACAACCTAACCTTTATCAGTAATAAAGGTGATGCATGGGTCTCTGTTTGCCTTTATTCCTCATTTGGTTCAACACTCAGGCAGGGAAAACACACCTGTTATAGATAGGGCTCCTCTACCCTTCAGCAGAGGATAATTGCTGTAGGAGAGGGTGCCTGGGGCCAGTAGCCTGATTCTGAGTAGATGAGAGGGAGCTGAGGTTAGGCAGGAATTAGTGAGGTGAAGATATGGGGGAAGTGAGTTCTCAGAAAAGAGATAACATTTGCAAAGGCCCTGAGGGAAAAAAAAGCTTGGCAGGTTTAAGAAGCTCAGTTAGTGTGGTTGGAGGGGTTGATGTAACAGGAGGAATGGCTAGAACACTGGAAAGGTGGAGGATCCTAGAGCCAAGTTAAAAACTTTATCTTGAGGGCACTGATAAATCATGGTTTAATGTGTCCTGGAAGTTCTGAGGAGGATAGATACCTGGGCAGGTGAAATTAGCCTTCCTAAAGGAGGCAGCATATCTAAGAATAAATACACCAATGCAGTCCTCCCAACATCCTGAAGTGGCATCTTCTCCATGAGAACCCTCTTGCCCAGATGAAGGGGTCTGAATTCCTGAGAGGGTCTTAGACTCCTAAGACTGCACCTCTTGCCCAGCAGAGCACAGTACTGTAGTCCAGTAATGACTTAGTACATGCCCCCTTCAGCCCTTTCTCAACAAACTTGATGTAACAAATGTACTTACGCCAGAAAACTCTTCAGTTAATGGATTTTGGTTTGTTTCCACCTTTTGGCTATTGTGAATAGTGCTACTATGAACATTCATGTACAAGTTTTTGCATGGACATATGTCTTCATTTTTCTTGAGTATATACCTAGGAGTGGCATTGCTGGGTCATATGGTAACTCTCTTTAACTTAAGGAACTGCTAGACTGTTTTCCAAAGCAGTTGCACCATTTTAGTTTTGTTTTTGTTTTTTTGGCAGCTGGCTGGTATGGGGATCTGAACCCATGACCTTAGTTTTATAAGGCTGTGCTCTAACCAACTGAGCTAACCAGCCAGCCCAACCGCACCATTTTACATTGCCACCAACAATATATCAAGAGAGCCCATTTTGCCACATCCTTGCCAACACTTACCTTTTTAATTATAACCATCCTAGTGGATATAAAATGGTGTCTCATTGTGGTCCTGAGTTGCATTTCCCTAATGACTAATGATGTTGAGCATCTCTTAATGTGCTTGTTGGCTATTTGTGTATCTACTTTGGAAAAATGTCTTTTTAAATTCTTTGCCCATTTAAAAAATTTTTTTATTATAGATTATAGAGTTATTTACATATTGGTTACTAGACCCCTATCAGATTGATTTGCAAATATTTTCTCCCATTCTGTGGGTTTAAATTTCTGAAAGTTTCCTTTGAAGCACTGCTGAGCTACTTTTAACAAATATTTAAAAATCTTTTTTTTTTTTTTTTTTAAAGATGACCGGTAAGGGGATCTCAACCCTTGGCTTGGTGTTGTCAGCACCACGCTCAGCCAGTGAGCTAACCGGCCATCCCTATATAGGATCCGAACCCGCGGCCTTGGTGTTATCAGCACCGCACTCTACCGAGTGAGCCACGGGCCGGCCCTTAAAAATCTTAAAGCAAAGTAAATTAGAAATATGTAATTGGTGTTTAAATTATACATTTAAATTTAATAAGTATTATAATTTTATGAACAAACCATTGTATGCAGACCACATTTTGAGGCCTCCAAACTACAGTCTTGAATTCATGTAAAGGATCTATCATAGTGACAGCTCTCTCTTTTATGAGTATAGCATTTATGTGCCGGGCGCTGTTTGGGCACTCTACATGTATTAACTCATCTAATTCTCATGACAATCCTATGAAATAGAGACTGTTATACTCACTGTACAGAAAAAACGGAGGCAGAGGGAGGTTAAGTAATTTGCCTGAAGCCAAAGTAAGTAGCAGAGATGGGCTCCACATTCCAGTGCTCTCAACCACTTGCTAGACTGCCACAGTGGAATTAAACCATTTCAAAGAATACCTACCCCCTCGCTTTGGGGATAGAATAGTGCTTTCGTGCCATCTGCACTATGGACATTTTCCTTCTCCTTACCAACCCAGAAACTAGTAGTGCCACCCATCCAGGCATCTTCATTGCACCCCTGCCTTCCCAGTCCAGAGCCCACTAGGCCTCAGGACCCCTCTCTCTTTTCCTTGGGTCAGAGGCTTTAATGTTCTTAGAAGTAACTGCAAAGTCGTCTACACCCCCCAAGTGGAATGGTTCTAAATTTCCGGTGGCCAGTGAGTGCCGAGGGGCTGGATTCAGTCCAGTGAGGTGCAAAGCTGAGTGGTGGGTGGAGCCAGGGGAGGGGACAGAACAGAGCCCCAGCAGCGGTATCCGCTATCGTGTGCCGCGGAGCGGAGTCATGAGCTGGACCTGCCCGCGTTGCCAGCAACCCGTTTTCTTCGGTGAGGCCCGGGGTGAGAAGGGGGAGAAGATGGGATGAGTGTGAGCCGCTGGGTTCCCTTAGGACGCGAGGGCTGGCCATGATGTGGTCTCTGACACCTTTTTACACATGTAGCGGTGCATGATCGCAGCACCACTACCCGCTTCCATTCGGATCCCCTCTCCTCCTCTGAGAGCTCTGTGGGGCGCATGGCACCGGGCGGGATGGGGCTGACCTCCTGGAGGCACTCTTCCTCATCTTCAGGGAGCAGGGCAGGCCAGGCTGATTCCCCAAGAGGGCTGGGGGCGGGTGGTGGGGGGCACCCCGTGCCTGGCCGGGCTCCTTGCAGTGGGGTTCCACCTTGTCCCCCACAGCTGAGAAGGTCAGCTCTCTGGGCAAGAACTGGCACCGCTTCTGCCTGAAATGTGAGCACTGCCACAGTATCCTGTCCCCTGGTGGGCATGCAGAGGTGAGGCCTGGCCAGGGTGCTCAGCCCTGTGTCTGTCACTGCTCCCCAGGCACTGGCCCCCAATTTCAGCCCTGGAGGCCTGCCAAAGGCAATCTCAGCAGCCAACCCCAAGGCTACCCACCCGGTGGGCCCCACACCAGTTAAAATTCTGGGAGACTTAGTTGTGACAGTGGATCCCATGGCTTTGGTGGCTGGGAAGAGAGGGAAGCAGCACTACTCCTGATCTGCTCTTGCCCTTCCTCCCTCGAGGCAATTCTGGCATGCCAGCCAACCTCCCACCCCTCCCAGCTTCATCAGACCAGGCTAGTGGAAAGACACACCTGGCAGTCTGTCTTGGGGAAAGGTCTGTGGGGCATGTCCCCCCTTGGCCCTGAGTGACACCCCTCCTCCCACTTGTGCCCAGCATGATGGGAGGCCATATTGCCACAAGCCATGCTATGGGGCGCTCTTCGGACCCAGGGGTAAGTACCAGCCTGGAAGGGGCCAGGGGGCAGCAGAACCCTCCCTGTGGCTGGGAGCTAGAGGCTCTAGCCTGACCTCCCCTATTCTCTCTACAGGAGTGAACATTGGTGGTGTGGGCTCCTACCTGTACAACCCCCCGACTCCCACCCCTGCTAGCACCACTCCCCTCAGCCCCAGCAACTTCAGCCCCCCCAGACCAAGGACTGGCCTCCCCCAAGGCAAGAAAAGTAAGTTAGGCTGGGCCTCAGTTCCTCCTTCTCCTCCTCCGGCTAACCCTTCTCCATGCTGAAGCAGTGTGTGGGGCCAGGTGGCAGTCTCCTACCCAGCTCTCTGGTTTACATTCATACAACTTTGTTCTTAGTAAAGTCTTCTCTATTCATGGCTCCTTTTTTGATATCCTTTATGTCACCTGCGGAGTCAAGGTAAATTGGGCAGATAGCATCATCACCCCCATTTTACAGGTGAGGAAACAGGTCTAGAGAGGGCAAGTGACTTTCTTCAGTCACACAACTAGTCAGAGACAAAGCTGACCTGGAACTCAGGCCTCTCCCAGGCCAGGACTGTGGAAGAAATGACCTATGGGTCATTGGGATGGGGCCAGCCCCTCACATTCTTCAACTTCTCTCTGGTGGTCCCTGTTCTTCCTCCCACCCCCTGGAGTAGGCAATGACACCAAGCTCCCCAACACCTGACACCCCTGCTCTGGCCAGCTCCTATATCAGCTCAGGTTTCCTAAGGATTGAATTGCTGACAGGGTTGGGCTGGTGGGCCCCTGAGCCCCTGGGTGGATGAGAAGGAAGCAGGTGGTCCCTAATGCAGATAGGGATGAGGCAGGAGGTGGGGTCAGAGGGGGCTCAGCTCTGGGCTCAAGGAAGGCAGATTCATAGCTGCCTACGATGAGCATGGCTTTTGAAAGAGGACAATGCCATGTGCAGGCAGGTGCTGCTGGGCCCTATTTAGGCTCCGGCTCCCACCTCAGCCCTAGCCAGGGCCTCTTCCCCTTAAAGGCCCTCCCCACATGAAGATGTTCACTGGGGAGACCTCGCTATGCCCTGGCTGTGGGGAACCTGTCTATTTTGGTAAGTGACAATGGAAAGTTGGGGGGGGCACAGGGTGGGCAGCAAGGGGCAGGGAGGTGATCCAAGGCAGGTGGGTCGCCCTGCCCTGCTCCTAGAATGGAAGAACTACCACTTCTCCCCACCACCAGCTGAGAAGGTGATGTCCTTGGGCAGAAATTGGCACCGACCCTGTTTGAGGTGCCAGCGTTGCCGGAAAACCCTGACTGCTGGGAGTCATGCTGAGGTGAGCAGGATAAGGATGGGTGGTTACGTTGGGAGGAGGGAGATTGGAGATGGGAAGAGAGCTAGGCTGAGACAGCTCTCTTTCTCTCTATGTCCCAGCATGATGGCGTCCCCTACTGCCACATCCCCTGCTACGGCTACCTGTTTGGCCCCAAAGGTGGGCAGCCCCACCCCAGATACCAGGCCTAAAGTATGGCATGTACATGGTCTGTGGGGATGTGTGGACAACTTCCCCTGTAGTCAAACATACCCCCAGGCCTCTCCCAATTCCCTCCAGCCCTCCACCCAACACCCCCTAGATTCAAGACCCTTGGTAATAGGGCTCTCTCTCCTCAGGTGTGAACATTGGCAATGTGGGCTGCTACATCTATGACCCAGTGGAGATAAAATCCAAATGAGACACTCACAGGAGAGGTCACCCTAACTCAGGCCTCCCAACATCCCCTCCATGGTCCAATGGGAGCTACAGAATTCTCCAGTCCCATTGGCAGGGGTGGAGGGTGGGATCCTGGGGGCCTGGGCCTAGGCTCCATGGTAGGCCAGAGAGTCTAGATTTTCTCTGCCACTTCTTTCCCATTCCTATTAGGCTCGGGGACATAGGCCACCTCAGTTTTGAAGGGTGCCCTCCTAGCCTTCCCAATCCCTTCCCCAGAAAATTCTGGAGCTTCAAGTTACTCATAAAACTCACTTTTATTGAGTCTCATCCCCTGGCTTCTCCAATAAAATGTTGGTTCCCATGCCTTCATCTCTTTGAGCATGAGGCCTAGTCAGTGGTTTGGAGGTCAGGGAATGTGGGGGTAGGAGGATGTATTGCTCTGCAGAGTTCCTTGAAGGTAGCAGGGCCATCCATGGGAACAAAGAGCTCCGTTCTCCTGGTCCCCTGGGCCTGGAATTGACAGTCCCTAGCACCACACACTGGACACCAGCCCCGTAGATACCAGAAGTCTTCATAGGACAGTCCCTTCTTTAGCACCATCTCTAGAAGAAGCACCTTACTCAGCATCTCATTTGAGCATTACAACAGATCCTGTGGTAAGGTCTGCAAGAGACTGCATTATCTATTTGGGAAATGAACAGACTGCGGCCCAGAGAGGGAAAGCCACATGCTCAAGGTCACACAGCAAATCAGTAGTGAAGCTGGGATCAGAGCCCAGGGCAGACTCAGTGGCTTCTGATCCAGGGCTCTTCCTACCAGAGCCTCACTGGTACCCTAACCCAAGGGGCACCTTTATTTACAAAATCACCCCAGCCATGGGAGGGGTGCCCAGAATATCCAGCAGCCCACTGCATTTTGGAAAGTCACCCTGCTGCTGAAGGCCAAATAGTCAAGGCTGGATGAGCACAGGGAGGGGGCACCGTGGCAACTCCAGCCCTAGGCAGAGGGCTCAATGCCCCCAGCCCTGGTTACGGGACCTGTTCTTCTGCTCTCCTAGGCCCTACTGCAGAGCTTCTGTGGAGGGTCTGCCCCCAATTGCACTCAGTTCTGGACCTGCTTCATGGGTATCTCTTCCTCCTGAAGACTGGAAGGGACACTGGGAAGGAAAGAATTGTAAGCAGTGGTGGGGTTTTGTCCCCAAGTCTACCACCCCAGCCTGTCCCACCAGGGGTGGCCCAGGGCTCTCCTCAGCTCCTGGTATACAAACACATGTACTCCACAAGTGACTCGCATATATGCTTGTACACATTCCTGATGTGTAGGCATACCAGAATATGCACACGTCCACCTCTTCCTGAACAACCATAGGTATTTATGTACACACATGTACACTTTTGTGCACACAGTTTACATACCCCAGATCATGCACCCTGAAACACTCTTGTACACTCACATACACGCACCATGTACACATGAGCAGACATGTCTTCTCTGAATCCTAAGGTTTCAGTTATCTGAGCACCTGCATCCACATGCATGTGTTCACACATACACAGACACAGACCTGTGCACATACCTCTCTCTCCACGTCCTGAATGGTCTCTGGCAGCTGCACCTGCCTCGTCTCTGGCAGCAGGAGGGTGGTGCAAGCAGCCAGCAGTGCAATCCCCCCAAAAACAAGATCGGGCAGTCACAGCCACACTGTATCCAGCAAGGCCACCACTGGGGCCAAAGAGGCCTCCAGCTGGCCCACTAGTGCAGTCAGCCCCATCCCTGTCTGTCTGTTCAGAGAGGGGATGAGGGAGGCAGTTGGTGTTCACACCTACTTGGGATCGTACTCCACAGGGCTCCCCTCCCAGGCTGGCAGGGCCTGGTATCCCCTTCTCCTCAGACAGTTGAGAAAGCTAGGGCTTCTTCAGTTGGTCTTCTCACCCACCCCCAGGTCAGGAGCCCCACCAGAAGATAGGGCCCCCATTCTGACAGAGTATCATGTAGGTACCACTGAAAGAAAAGTCACCAGAAATGGGCTGGGAAAGGTAGTATGGAAGGAAGAGGGTCAGCAATTTGTACAGGCCCTACCATGTTGTTGGAGGAGGCTCAAGTCCTTTTAGACTTAACCAGATGCCTAGAAGTCTCCTCTCCCCACCTGCCAGTAGCTAGATGAAAGGGTCCCTGGCCTTATGTCCAGAGACAAACCCCAAGGGCAGCTCTGCCTCGGCAGAGGTATATGGGATGGGATGGGGTGGGCAGGATGGGGCTTCTTGGGACTGTTTTCTGCTAAACAGAGGTTGTCTGACTTGGCTCAGGGTCACATAGTACAGAAGATAAAATTCCCTGCCTTCAAGACTCAAACACAGATAGCTCTTTTTAGCTCTGTATTTTTTTTCCTTTTTGTCTTTTTTACTGACCGGTAACAGGATCGCAACCCTCGGTGTTGCGTCCGCACCGCGCTCAGCCAGTGAGCGGGAACCGGTCTCCACATGGGATCCGAACCCTCGGCGGGAGCGCTGCCACGCTCGCAAGCGGCGCACTCTCCAGTGCGCCACCGGGCCGGCCCTAGCTCTGTATTTTGAGTGTGGTGTAAAGAATGGGTGAGAGGGACCCGGGTGCAATGTGTGTATGTAGAAGTGTTGGTTAAGAAACATGACTAGCGAGCCCCCCAGCTCACCCTTCAAGTAGGTCGCCTGGGGTCCAGGCTTCCCTCACCTGAGCACGGCAGGGTAGAGCTCCTAAGTGAACAGGTAGGCAGTGGTGAAGGCGGCTTCAGAGAAACCTTTCCCCATCACCGACAGGGCGGTGCCCCAGGACCTCATCTCTGGAGGAAAAGGGGTTCAGGCGGTGAGAGGGCCTCCTGGGAGAGCCAAGGGCTCCTTGGATAGGAGGCGAGTCTCCGGAGTGCGCCGAACTTGACTGGCCGATAGTAGGAGCTCCTGGGAAAGGGCGGGGGTTCTTGGCCAGGAGGCGGGGTCTCCGGGGAGTGGGCGGGGTTCCAGGGCCAGACCCTGGGGTGGGCGGGTCCCATAGGATGGGCTCACCGGAGGACACCAGCCGTCTGAAGCTCAAGGCCAGGGCCGTGCCCAGCTGCGTTCCGGCCACCGTGAGGCTGTGTCCCGCGTGGCGAACCGACAGGTAAACCAACAGCTTGGCGGGCAGCTCTACGGCCCCATACAGCAGCTGCGACTGGTACGCGTTCAGCCCCAGCCCCTCCACGTCCAGACTAAGGCCGTAATAGGAGAAGTTCATTCCAAACCTGAAAGGAGTCGCGCGGCGCTATTCAGGGGGCCCTCCCTCCCATCCCTCTTTGTCCTCTCTTCTCAGGAATACTTGGCCTTTTACGCTGACGACCTTCCCCCTTAGGAGCCCACTGCCTAGGTCTTTCCCCAACACCCTAATCCTGCCTGAATGTGCAGCATGTGCCAGTGGCCAAAGCACCTTTACCCTAATCTTGACAGCGACCCTGTAACATAGGAACTAACAGCAGCCCATCTTACAGAAGGAACACTGAAGCTCAGAGTGGTTAAGTGACCTGTCCAGGATCTCAGGAAAGATGAGGCAGAGTCTGAATTTAAACCCACGAGTCTCTGCTGCCTGCTCCATCTGCTGACCTCCCCTAGCCAGATCACGCCCAGAGGCTGATTGATCCTCCTGCCTTCCACAATTAAACTTCACTTCAGTGTGGTGGGTCCTAGAATCTGCCCTTTCTTCCCACCACACCCACCCCACCAGACCCAAGCCACCCCCTCCTTACCACACCACCATAAAACATAATGAGATGTATTGAAACTGTGATGTGCGAAACAGGTCTAGGTATGAAGGTCTTCAGATAGCCCTTTCACCAGCAGCCACTTTGCTCAGGACCTCGAGGGGGAGGAGGTGAGGTTGTGACATCAGAGTTGCTTATGTGGTCTCAGCAGAGCACATTGCAGTTAGCTTACCTTCTCTCTCTCTCTCTCTCATCTCCTCTGCGTTGGTGGGGATGGAGGTACACATGGAAGCTGAGAAGTGTGGTCCCTGACTGAAGGGACCATCAGAACCAGGTAGGGCAACCTGAAAAGATTAGAACTCTCCACTGGGGGCCGGGGGCTTTTCCTGCTTTTCCACGTATGGTGGGCTTCAGGAGAGGATGCTTTGGCCACTGGCACATATGCCACACACACATGCACACTTGCATACACACATTCACCCTCACTTCCCAGCTCAGGCTGTCCTCACCCACAGGCTGCCCATTGAGCCTGGAACAGCAGAGCAGGTACCTCTGGGCCTCCTCCACACGTCCCTGGGTCAGAAGCCAGCATGCAGACTCGGGCACCCACCTAGGGGATAGGTAGGAGGCTCTTAGCCAGAAAGTCAGCACTGTAAGCCACATCTCCCTCCTGGGCACACATAGCTGTCAACCTTCAGGCTCTTGCTCATGCAGTCCCCTCAACCTGGCACATCATCTCTTCCCCAAGTCCTCTATACCTGATGAACATATGCATCTTTTAAAGCCCAATTTAAGAGCCACCTCTTCCCACACTTTCCTGCCCAGGCCTAGGTGCCCCACAGCCTGAGAGTCCCTCCCTTAACTGAATTGGCCCAGATCTCAGCTCCCAACACCAGCCATTCACTTCTCACATGGGTGGCAGGAGGGCACAGGATAGAGGAGAGACAGACATACAGACATACCCAGAAGGGTCATCCAAAGCCAGTTCATCTTTGGGAGGCAGTGAAATGCCCACACTGCTTGGTCTCTCACCCTCTTCCCTGAGCTCCATACCCCCATGCTGGCCTTGCCCCCATCCCCACCCCCCTAAGGGGCCAGCCACAATCTGTGCTTGGCTCTGTCATTATCTCTGTCTCTCTGGTCTCCCACTGACTCTCATTTTCTCTCACTCTATCTCCATCTCTCTTTCAATCTACCTTTCAATCCTATCTCTGTCACTCACTAGCTCTTGCTGGTTCTGTCTCTGTCTCCGTCTCTGTTTCTTTATGGCTTGTTCTCTGTTTCTTACTGTCCCATGCTGACTTCTGTTGGTCTCTGTCTCTGTGTCTTTCTGTCTCTTGGTCACTGACTCTATTTCTCTTTCCCTCAGCTCTCAGTCTCAGTATTGGAATCTCAGTCACCAATTAATTTTGTCTTTGGCTTCCTGTATTTCCTGCTGCCCAGCTGCCTGCATCCCTCACCAGAGGCTGAGGATGCCTGGGTCACAGGGCAGAGTGACAGCAGCAGAAGCCATCGCCAGTCCCGTATCAGGTACCCAAACAGTGCCAGCAACATCATGCCCCCACTCCAGAAGGTGCTGCTCAGGATGCCTGCCATGGTGCCATGCTTCATGTCCAGCCACTCCAGCTCTGGGCCCAGGGCCAAGGCCAGAGACAGGAAGACAGTTAGGGAGGGCCAGATGGGCTCAGTCTCACCCTGACAACTGCCTCCCTCCAGCCCTCTAGGCCCTGCCTGTCCTTTGTCTGCCTCACCCAGTGGCATCACGATGATGGTGAAGCCAGCCAGGGCTGAGCCAGTGAGGGTGTGGGTGATGGTGAACATTACATAGCTGGCAGAGGCTGCAGGTGCCAGACCCAGCACCAGGACACTCACATAGGCCACCAGCAGCAGACAGTGCCTCCCAAACCTGCAAAAGGGGTCATGCAGGGTCAGCTCTCTGTGAAATGGAGATTCTCAAATGTAGGTAGACTAGGCCCATACTCAAGCTAGTGGGACAGGGTCACCCCAGCCTGCTCCCTATTGGCCTCATGCCTCACCCCACTTGTCAGACAGGTATCCAAAGGCCACAGCTACCACCAGCACACCAGCAAAGAAGAAAGTGGATGCAGCTCTGATCAAGCCTTTCTGCTCACACACCAGGTCGCACTGCAAGTATAGGCAGCAAGGGGCCTCCTATGAGCACAAGCCCTTCTCCAGCTGGCATCAGCTTCTTCTCTCCAGACCCTGGGGCCTTCTGAGGCAAAACGTGCCACTCTGGTACCTCTGTGCCTGATAATAAGCCCCCAAACTATTCACCCTAGCTTGGGGAGTGGGAGACTGCCCCTCCCCAGTCCTGCAGCCTCAGCTTCTTCCCATGGAGGGCCTTAACCATGAGACAGGAGTCCTGCTGCCCCCAGGGAGATTCTGCCTCCACCCACATGCCACCTCCAAATGGATTTTGTAAATCCCAGACCTGGGCCAGAAATGAGGAAGGGAGAAAGGGAGTTCTCTGTTGTTTCTCCACCTCTTACTGCAGGAATGCTCTTCTCAGCTCTTTGCCCCAACTCCCTGGAGCCACCTTAGCCCTTCTCTACCTTAAACTCCCAATTAATGGTAATGTAGCAGCTCCTGTGTGTGAACCCCTTACTACAAGCCGTGAACTAAACTCAGTGTTTTATATTCATAGACCCCATCTACAGATAGGTAAACTGAGACTCGAAGAGGTAAAGTAATATATCTGACGGTCACACAGTAACCACCCAAGGCAATGGCAGGCCCATCCCACTCACATGTCCCTCAGCCTCTGGGCTCAGGTACCTCAGTTGCAATGGTGGAGGAGAACTCCGTGCAGTCGTACTCCCAACCCTGAGAGCAGGGCACTGGGGAGGGTTTGCCTTCCAGCTCCCCAAAGTTCTGCCCCTCTCCCCACAACATGGTGTTGGGAGAGCCTGGGGGTGTGCAAAGTGGAGGCAGGAGCTGAACTTGCCGTTGGGCTCCCGGGGCAGGTGGGCCTCCAGCCACACGTCCTGGTGGCTGAAGTTGCCAGGGGCACCAGGCAGGGCACAGTGGTGGGCAGGCACTACAGCCAGAAGAGGGGCAGGAGGAAGTGCAAGTGTTGCAGCACGCAGAGCAGGGCCAGCAGGGCCACATTCTGCAGTTGGAAGGGCCCAAAGCCACCCACCTGGTCCAGCAGTTCCTCCAAGCCCATGCTGCACACCCACCAGCTGTCCCCAGTGGAAGCTCCCTCTGCAGTGCCCAGCACAGCTCAGCCTGCCCACCACATGTACCCTTGGACTCTGGAGGTGGAGTGGATAGACTGATGAGTGGAGAGCCTACAGCCAGAATCCAGCCCTCGGGGGTTGACCCAGTGCTTGTGGGGAGCGGCTATTATCTGTTCAGAGGTCACTGACTTCGTGACTCTGAGGTTTACACGTTAGTGCTCAGGAACAAGTAGGGGAGCCTCAGGCCACCATGATAAGATAGCTGGATGATGGGGTAGGAGGTGAACCTCTAGGCCCTTGGTCAGCAAACTCCAAGGGTCCCTAAAGAGAGAAATCCCCTGGGGCACAGTGCCAGCTCTCTGTGGATGCCCTTTGTCCTATGAGGCCTTAGGTCAGCCTTGCCAAATTGCAGCCACAGCCACAGTCTTGCCACAGCCCAGGATTCAAGGTTGAAAGCCAGGCCCTAACCCGGTGAATAGTTATTTCTGCTGAGCCAAGAGGCTTCCTCATACCCCTAGCCCCTGCCTGAAACTGATGTCTGGCCTAAGACACACCTGGAATTTCACTGGGCAACCTGACCTCTCTGGGGATCTCAGGCTCATCACATTCCCACTCTACTCAGGGGCTCCCCCCATACATATGGTCCCTCCTGCCTACCCCATTCTCCTCTTTTCAGGAGCTTCCCAGATTACTCCGTGGAGGAGTAGGGAATGAGAGGATTTGCCAAGGTCCTGTCATAGGTACCCACAATGCCTGAGACCCAGGATTTTTTCTTTTCTTTTTTTTTTTAAAAGATGACCGGTAAGGGGATCTTAACCCTTGACTTGGTGGTGTCAGCACCACGCTCACCCAGTGAGCAAACCGGCCATCCCTATATGGGATCCGAACCTGTGGCCTTGGTGTTATCAGCACCGCACTCTCCCGAGTGAGCCACAGGCCGGCCCCGACCCAGGATTTTTTCAGTCTGACCCTCCCACTCAATTCTCTTTCATGGTCCACAAAGCAGAAGCCAGAAATATCAAATTTATTCTGACCTGATTCTCCAAACACCAAGCTGGCAGAGCTAGGAGATTGTCAGATTGTGTTCCAAGGAGCTCCAGATTTCTAATTAAGTGAGCTTCTTTTTGTTTTTTATTTTTCCTTTTTGTCTTTTTTACTGACCGGTAACGGGATCACAACCCTCAGTGTTGCGCCCGCACCGCACTCAGCCAGTGAGCGGGAACCGGTCTCCACATGGGATCCGAACCCTTGGCGGGAGCGCCGCCACACTCCCAAGTGGCGCACTCTCCAGTGCGCCACCGGGCCGGCCCTTAAGTGAGCTTCTAAAGGTGTTCTTTGAGAAAGGCCTAAGCTAAAAAAAAAAAAAAAAAAAAGTTTGAAAAGCACTAATCTAGCTCCCACTTAGAGCAAATAAGGAAACCAAAAGCAGGGCAAGGATCTGCTGGGGTCACATAGTGATTCAGCAGCAGAGCTGAAGAAAAGACCAGGACCCTGACTCCAGCCCAGGACTCACAATTTTGACTCAAGCTGCTGTGCTGGAGGTGTCCCAGTCTTCTTCAGGCTGGGATCCCTGAGAAAGTTCTGGAAAAAGAACTAAAAAGGTGGCATGGTGTGTGTTAATGGTGGTGGTGACAAGCATGGGAGTGAGGGCAGTGCTGAGAGGCAAGAGGCAGATAATGGTGGAGGTGACAGGGGGTGATAATAGTACGAGTTATTTGTTGAGTCTCTAGTGAAGCCTAGACACAGTCCCTGCCCTTAGAGAGCTTATAGGAGCCTCAAAAAAACTTGCACAAACCTCCCGGCTTCCAGTCTCACCCCTTTCAACCTATTCTGCATATGCTCACTGGTGGTGGTGGAGATAGTGATGTGGTGATGTGGTGGTGGTAATCATGGTGGTGATATGGTAGAGGAGGTGATGAAGATGGGTAAGCCCTCTGAGTGCAAGGACCTTACCTTTGGTTTGTCATTATGTCATCAGAACCTAGTGGTAGGTGATGGTGATAGTTTGGGAGGAGGATGTCTGTGATCTGAGTGATGATGATGCTAGTTATGGTAGGTAATAGAGATAAAAGTGGATGATGATGGATATTTGGGTTTAATGGTACATGCGGTGAGAAGGAATACAGAAGATACCACCTGGACTTGCTGAAAATGGGCTTATATCATATTTCCTTCTGACCCATGGCCAATTTTCCATGGCTATTGATGGAGTTTGAATGTGTTGTCCCCTCCAAAACTCATGTGGAAATTTGATCTCCAATGTGGCAGTGTTGGAAACTGATTGATGGGCTGGCCCCATGGCGCACTCGGGAAAGTGCAGCTGCGCTCCCACCGCCGGTTCGGATCCTATATAAGGATGGCCGGTGCGCTCACTGGCTGAGCACGGTGCAGCTGGTCACAAAAAAGACAAAAAAAAAAAAAAAAAAAAGTTGGGAATCTGATTGAGTCATGGAGGCGGATCCCTCATGAATGGATTAATGCTCTCCCTGACGGAGGAGGGGTAGTGAGTGAGTTCTCGCTCTATTAGTTCCCACGAGAGCTTGTTGTTTATAGGACCCTGATACCTCCTCTCTGTCTCTCTTGCTTCCTCTCTCACCATGTGATCTGCTTGTACCCGCCAGCTGCCTGATGCTTTTCCACCATGAGTAGAAGCAGCCTGAGGCCTGTGCCAGATGCGGCTGTCCCAGAATCATAAGCCAAATAAACCTCTTTCCTTTCTAAATTACCCAGTCTCAGGTATTTCTGTTATAACAACACAAAACAGACTAAAACAGCCATGCAGACTCTTCTCCCCTGTCACCTCATCACCTTAGGAAATGACCAGGCTCCCGCAACTGCTGAGGACTTAGAAAGGTCCTCCTGACCATCTTTCATCCTTGGTTTGGTCTCACCTCTTGTCCTGGCCTTCTCCCATGAGTAGCCAATGGGAAAATCTCAGCAGGCCCCAGCATCTGATGGTTAGAGACACAGCAACCTCCACATCCCCACCCCAGTCTCTTTCCTCCAGGGTGTCCCCCAGGGGCCCCTCTCTACTAACAAAGTCTCCTCCAGATGTCCCAGGTCTTGTGGCCTCCATTTAGCCCCTGACTGAGCAAGCTTGCTCAAGCCACTTATTTCTCTGTGCTGCTATCCTCAGACCTCTCATTGACCAGAGGACAGAGAAGAGAAATGTCTTCCTGGATGAGAGTGGGCAGGTCTTCATATGTGGAGCATCAGGCAGCCCCTGACAGCCAAGGTGGGCCTTGGGAAGTGAGTGTGCCTGGCAGATCTCAGCCTCCTGGGGGAGGGAGATAGGTAGGGATAGACTCTAGACTGCTAGAGATAGACTCTGCAGTATCCTAAAGCCATTTACCTTGACATATCCTACCCCTGCCCTAGGCCTGGTTCTGCTCCCTCTTCACTTCTCTCTTTCCACTCCCTGATTCACACCCGTGACCACCACACTAAACTACGTGCTGTTTCACACCTCTACAATTTGCCTCTGCTGTTCCCTCTGCCAGGAATGTCCTCTCCTCTTAATCTGAGCAATTCCTGTTTGTCTTTCAAAATTCAGTCCAAGAGGCACATCCATTTTGGCATCTTCCTTGAAGCCCCCAGTCTGGGCTGGGAGTTCCTCCCTTAGCCTCATGTATGAAGGCACAAACCACATGTACAGTGAAAGTTACTTTCCAGACACCTCCTTGAAGACTTGCTGTGCTTTGTCTCAGTGCCTGGTGTCTGGCATAGCCTCTAGTACATGTGGGGCTCAGCAACAACCTGCAAAATTGGTTGAATGGGTTCAGTGAATGAATGATTGAATGAATGCCAAACAATGAGTGAATCATCCATGGCATCCTTCCATTCATTTCTCAATAATAAAGAAATTTTATTTATTTATTTATTTTTATTTTTTATTTTTTTTTAAAGATGACTGGTAAGGGGATCTTAACCCTTGACTTGGTGTTGTCAGAACCACGCTCAGCCAGTGAGCTAACCGGTCATCCCTGTATGGGATCTGAACCTGTGACCTTGGTGTTATCAGCACCACACTCTCCCGAGTGAGCCACGGGCCGGCCCAATAATAAAGAAATTTAAAGATAGGGGCTGCCCAGTTAGCTCAACTGGTTAGAGCACAGCCTTCTAACACCAAGGTCAAGGGTTTGGTTCCTCATACTGGCCAGCCACCAAAAAAAAAAAAAAAAAGAAATGTAAAGATAGAAAAAAAAACCCTTTTTCACCAGATAGAATAAAATACCCTTTTTCACCTATTTGACTATTTGGGGGATTTCTCCTAGAATTAAACTTGCAGGAATAAACAGAGGTTAGAGCCAAGATGTTCATTTAGCAGTATTTGAAACAGTGAAAAGTTGGAAAGAGACTATGGAAAAATTAATATAGAGCTGGTTAAATAGATTATGGAATATTCATGCCATGGTATATTATGTAGCCATTAAAAAGAACACAAGGGTCCTCATCATTGCTGGCAGGAATGTAAAATAGTGTAGCCATTTTGGAAAAGTTTGATAATTCCTCAAAATGTTAAACATGGAGTTATCATATGACCTAGCAATTCCAGTCCTTGAAGTGAAAACATACATTTACATAAAAACTTGTAAACAAATGTTCATAGCAGCACTATTTATAATAGCCTAAAGTGGAAACAACCCAAAGTCCATCAACTGATGAATGGATAAACAAAATGTGGTATATCTATATAACAGAATAATAGAATATTATTTGGCAATAATAAGGAATGAAGGGCCAGCCCCATGGCTCACTCGAGAGAGTGTGGCGCTGGGAGCGCCGAGGCTGCAGGTTTGGATCCTATATAGGGATGGCTGGTGTGCTTGCTGGTCACTGGCTGAGCGTGGTGCAGACAACACCGTGCTGAGGGTTGCAATCACCTTACCAGTCAAAAAAAATAAAAATAAAAATAAATAAGGAATGAAGTACTGATAAATGCTACAATATGGAAGTACCTTAAAAACATCATACTAAGTGAAAGAAGGCAGTCACAAAAAGATCATATATGACTTCACTTATATTTAATGTCCAAAATAGGCAAATCTATAGACAGAAAATAGATTAGTGATTGCCTAGGGCTGTGGGGCTTGCAGGAAAATGGGAGTGATTGCTAATCGGTAGGGAGTTTCTTTTTGAAGTGATGGAAATATCCTAAAATTGATTGTGATGATAGCTGCAACTCTATGAATATATGAAACACCATTGAGTTGTAGAATTTAAATTGGCAAATTGTATGGTATGTAAATTATATCTCAATAAAGTCATTTTAAAAAGAAGAGGAAGATCTATATTTTAGGATGTCTTGTTGGCCATGAAAATCATGTTTCAGAATAGTAGGTATAATATGCTTCTCTTTTAATTTATGAGAAATATATATGTGGAAAGAAAGATAGCTATTAATTTTTTTGTGGCTGGCTGGTATGGGGATCTGAACCCTTAATCTTGGTGTTACAACACCATGCGCTAACCAACTGAGCTAACTGGCCAGCCCTCTAATTTTAAACATTAAAAAAAAAAAAAGGTCTCGGGCCGGCCCGGTGGCGCACTCGGTAGAGTGCGGCGCTTGGGAGCGCGTTGGTGCTCCCGCCGAGGGTTCGGATCCCATATAGAGACCGGTCCACTCACTGGTTGAGCGCAGTGCGGGCGCAACACCGAGGGTTGCGATCCCGTTGCCGGTCACGAAAAAAGACAAAAAGGAAAAAAAAAAAAGGTCTGGGCTGGCCCGGTGGCACACTCGGTAGAGTGCGGCGCTTGGGAGCGCGTTGGTGCTCCCGCCGAGGGTTTGGATCCCATATAGAGACCGGTCCACTCACTGGTTGAGCGCAGTGCGGGCGCAACACCGAGGGTTGCGATCCCGTTGCCGGTCACAAAAAAAGACAAAAAGAAAAAAAAAAAAAAGGTCTGAAGTGGTACACACCAAGCTGTTCACAACAGCTACCTGTAGATGGTCAGATTCACGGACAGGGAGCTTTCATGTTTTATTTGACATGCTTTTATTTATTTATTTATTTTATTATTATTTTTTTTTTTAAAGATGACCGGTAAGGGGATCTCAACCCTTGGCTTGGTGTTGTCAGCACCACGCTCAGCCAGTAAGCAAACCGGCCATCCCTATATAGGATCCGAACCCGTGGCCTTGGTGTTATCAGCACCGCACTCTACCAAGTGAGCCATGGGCCGGCCTTGACATGCTTTTAGTATTTGCCTTTTTACTACAAGTATGTCCTCCTTTTGACATTTTAAACAAGAAGGAAGGTTAAAGCACATGGGGTCCCCAGTGAAGGCTAGTGAATCAGGCCCTAGAGCCCACTGGCATTCACACCAAAGGAAAGGGAGTCCCAGGAGGCCACAGTGGTTCTTGCATGTCAGAGAGTGGCCTTATCAGAGGGAGAGCAGGACTTCAGACCCTGGGCCCTTTAACCCCAGATCCCAGGAAGGGCTGGGAACCTGGCCTGGTACCGAAATTATGTACTGACTAGGTGAAAGTCACGCCTAGTGGACCTAGGGTTCAAAACACAAAAGGTACAGCATGTACATTACAGCAAAACCTCCCATCCATCCAGCTCTCCTCCTCTGTGGCAGCCAGAGACCTAGAACTCATCTGGGCTGACTTTCTACACAGAGTTGTACATTATACACACACACTGTACATTATGCATTTATTCTTAGTCTTGGAGACTGGTCTGTAAGTGTATACAAAGAGCCTCCTCCTTAATATTAGAGTTTCGCCGTACCCCACAATGGGGTCCCCACTGGATAAGTGAGCCATGCCCTACTGACTAGCCCCAATTAATGGACATTTAGATTGCTTCTGAACTTTTAGAGGTCCGCAGTCTCCTATCCAATCTGTTGATATCAGGTTTGTAAAGGTATCAGTGTATATGCCATGTATTATGAAATACCCTAATAGGATCTAGAGCGTGGTGCCCCATAATCAAACATATTAATATTTCCACTACAATTATGCATAAGTGAAATGAACATTTTAAATGATCTAACCAGGTTTTGATACCAAATGAGTTTGTGCCAATCTAATGAAAAAGCTCCCAGTGTTCAGAACTTTTTGGGTTTCAAAATTGCAGATATGGCTTTGTGGAGCTATACAGAGAATGCTGCAATATCTTTGGACACATGATTTTGCAAGTGTACAACAATACCCATAGGATAAATTTCTAGAAGTGGAAATTCTGTGTCACAGGCTATGTTCATTTGTGATTTTGATAGATTTTGCTATAATAATTACCTTGCCTGTGAGCTGCTGCCCTTTATGGTTTTCCAAACACTCTCACTTTTGTCTGTTACCTTTGGGGTAATGAAAATTCTTCCTCCCTCCCTTTCTGCACAAAGCGAGACTTAGGGTCTCTTGCTTTCAGGAGAGGTGTCCAGGGAATGCAAGCTTTGCTATCAGAGGGATATGCTGTGGATTAGATATCCCCCAAAAGCTTATTGACACTTAATCCCCACTGAGACAGTGTTAACAGGGTGGGAAATCCTATTATGATAATTGAAAGGTGGGGCCTTGAAGAGGTGATTAGATTGTAAGGATCATGCCCTAGCGAATAGATTAATCCATTGGTGATTTAATGGTGGTCATGGGCATAGTTCTGATGGCTTTAAAAGGAGAGTGCAGGAGAAGAAGCTCTTTCGGCTCAAGCTATCTGCCATGTGACACCCTGTGTTGCTGTGTAGTCGCCCCCAAGAACACGGTCCTCACCAGATGTGTTCCTGGACTTTGGATTTCCCAGTCTCCAAAACTATAAGCAATAAATATTGTTTCTTTACCAATTTCCCAGTTTCAGGTATTCTAGTATAAGCAACAGAAAAGGACTAATACAGAAAGCAGAAGAGTCCCCTTCCACCTGTGTGACCCTGAGCAAGTTACCTGTACCCATCCTGAGCTTCTGTTTCCTCCTTTGTAGATACAGTGTCTGCCTCCAGGATCATCCCTCCCCATTTGCTTACCACTGGTGCTCTTCTCTCCTGCCCATTCCCAGCCCCAGGAGCTGGGTTTTGCCCTGCTCCTCTGACGAGAAGAAGAGTCCAGGCCAACAGAAAGAAAGGTCCACAGGCTTTTTAATGGTGTGATGGCTACTTCCCTTTCGAGACCCAATCTAATCATGACAGTGGCTTCCAGGGTTTTGGGGTGGGGGTGGGCAGGCGAGGGATGGGCAGAGGCCATGCAGTGACTGGGAAGGGGTGGGAGGAGGGGTGTTACATTCTGTTTGGCGTGTAAACATTCTTCAGTGGCTTCCCTAGGGAGTGGGAGGACAAACTCCCTGCCCCTCACCCCATGCTCACCAGGGCAGGTCCATGGAGCTGAGAAGACTGAGCAAGACAGGCCCCTGCAAGGAGCTGGGAAGGGGGAAGCCCATGTGCCTAGGGCACAGCCCCTCTCCTGCACCCGCTTCGTGCAAGCTGCGGCTGGGGAGGGAAGGCGTGTTCTGGGGTGAGTAGACCCCACATCTGAGACAGTGGCATAGGCTGTCCTGATGGGAAAGTGCTGGGGGGGTATGGTGGTGGTGGCAGCGGCAGTGGTATTGGTGTGACACTTTTGTAGAGGAGGGGCTCAGGACCTGGAGGGCCTGGTGGAGGGGATGGATCTCAAGGGGGAATAGGCTGCAGCTGGGAATGGGAGGACTGGGCGAGGTGGTTTCTTATACCCTGGATCCTTCCTGGGGAGAGGAGCAGAGTCAGTCTCTTAGCCACATACCCCCATCCACTGGCCCTTTTTCTCTCCTCTCCCACCCTTGCCCAGTGACATTCAATGACTCAGGGCCTGAGGTCAGTTGGGAGCCCTAGGGAGGTCTGGAATCCCAAGGGCAGACTGGGTTTTTCATCTCTGCCAGCTCCAGTGCTGGGTGAAGCTGTGGGTGGGATGGACTCTCTCAGGCCCCCCTACTGCCTCCCAACTCCAAACCAGAGTGTTGTTGGTCCTGGGGTAGAGGTGAGGCCGGGGGCCCTACATTCACAGTTCGGTTGGTGGCAAGGGGCAGGCCCAGGACTGGGCACCAGGGGTCGTGCCCTGGTCCCCACCTGACATGAGCTGATTGTCATTTAGAGAAGCTCTAGATGGGTGGAAGTGGCCCCTCCTCCACCCCCTCTGCTGTACCCAGAGGGCAGTAGAGGACCTCGGGAGGGCCTCAGGTTGACAAGGAGAGCTCTATCTGGAGAGGTTTCCTGAGTGTTCTGGAAGCTTCTGTATCAGCATGGGGTGGACCTCAAAAGCTGTCCACCCTGGAGTCCTCCCCTGGGCTGGTCTACAGAGAAGCCATCACCTTGGCATAGAAGTAGCTGCTCAAGCCTGCTGACTCTCCATGAGGGGATTCAGCTGTCACCACTAGGCTGCTCCCGGGGCCAGCTTCTTCGTGGGCATCCTTCTGGGTGATAGTGACTGAATGCAGCCAGACCGCTGGGGCACACTGAGGCCTTTCTTCCTCTTCTCCTGGATGTCTTGACTTGCTTTCTGTGGCTCAAGGAAGGACAGAGGGGCAAGGCCAGGGGACAGAGGCTGTGGGTGCTGAGGATGAAGGAGGCCTGCATGGGACCTGTCTCAGATAGGCAGAGCTGGCTGTCCCTTCTGCAGCCAGTGTGCTGCTTGCCCCAGACATAGGCAGTTGAGGCTGATGATGAGTTGGGGTGAGCTGTGCAGGAGCCAGAACACAGCAGGAGACTGTGCATTCATGGAGCAGTACAGCTGTATGGGCTGGGGTTAGGGCAAGAGGGGACACGCTGAAGGGAGGAGTGGGCTCGGTCTGAAGACTCATCACACAAGCATACGATCTGGAAGTTAGAAGGGCCTTTCTGCCTCCAGTGGCCAGCTATCTGTTGGTCTGCCATCCCTGCCCAGTGGGAGAGATGATGCCTGACCCGGCCCATTCCCCACAGCCAGGAGGACAGGGAGGGTGACCTGGCCAGAATTGAGTCCCTGAATCTCCAAAGGGCCAACACAAAGAAAATAATAACCAGCCACTCTCCACCTGCATTGAACTCAGGAGAGAGGGAAGTTGGCTGAAACTGCAGTAGGCAGGATTGAGGTTAGATGGCAGGAATAAATTCCTGATGGTAAGAGGTCCTGAGCACTATATCAGGGGACCAGTGAAGGGGGTGAAACCTTTTTTAAAGCCCCCCTCTAACATCCCGTTAGGAAACACTTGCCCAGGAAGGCAGCCCACACACTTTCCACAATCCCACTGAGGCCCCACTCAAACTTAGAAGGAGGGTCTCTGCCTCCCAGAGGTTCAGGGGTACCCCACCCCCACCCCGCATTCACCTGCCCACTGCCTTCCACCACGGTATACAGGATGGAGCTGACTTTGGGGCGGCTCAGACCTGCCCCCAACACCTAAGTCAACCAATGGCCCCTGGGTCCCACCTCCCCAACCCAAGCCAGGCAGCTGAGAGGCCTTTCCCAGCCCCCGAATCTCCCAGGACACGGTAGGGTTGGCCCCCAGCGGGAGGCTGGAGCGTCCACTTCTGCAATTTGAGGCTGCTTCTCTGAAATGGGGGTTGGGGGACTTTGGCAGGACGAGGGTTGGGAGGAGGACATGGCGCCGCAGGAGGTGTAAGCAGAGGTCCCTGGGGAGCATGGAGAGCAGCCGAGGCCTGGTAGGTGAGCGGGGCGTCCCCAGAAGTGGAGTCCTAGGTGAAAAGTGGCTGAGCCTTCCCCGGTGCAGAGGGACCGGTGTGAGCCTGCCCCGCCTAATGGGCGGCAGGGGGAGGGGAGGAGACGGGGAGAGGAAGGGGAGGCGGACCCTCTCCCCCACCCTCCAGCATCGCTGCGCCGAGCCTCCCACCCTCAGGCGGGGTGCGGCATGTGGTCGCATGAGTCCTCGCGGGTGCAGGCGGGAAGCTGGGGCTGTGGGTGGCGCGCGTCGGGCGCGTAAGGCTGTGCTGGGAGCTGTTCCAGTGTGGCCGGCTGCGGATGGGGGGCCGGGGTGAGGGTGGGGGGCCGCGGACAACCGCGGGCGTCATTATCTGGCCCCAGCCCCGCCCTCCACGACCCCCGCCCGGCCTTTGGTTGCTGCGCGCTGAGTCTGGAGTTTCCCTCTGGGTCCTTTCTTGGGGCCCCCCGGGGAAGGGGTGCCGTCAGGCTGGGCCCGGGCTTGCGGGACACCCCGGGGTGGGGGCACCCCGGGCCGGGCCTGGTGCGAGGGGGAGGGGCTCTCTTTGCGGGACAGGGACTGGCTTCGGGGGGACGCGCTGGGATTGCGCGCGGTAGAGGCGGGGAGGCCTGGACTGCGGGGGGCGGGTGCCCTGGCGCCGGCTTGGGCTCGCCCTGGTCCCGGGCAGCGGCCGGAGAGCTGTTTGGGGCGGAGGTCAGCCACAATGGCCGACTCTGTGGGCTTCTGCAGCTGGAGCCTGCTTGAGGAGCAGAGGACAGAAGGCAAGAGAAGAGAAGAGGGCATAGAAACAAAAAAGGAGAGACATTTTCAGAATCCGCCTGGCACTGAGCCGTAATATCCTGCAGCCTCAGAGCTGGATGAGACTGAGGAGATCATGGCACAAATGGGAAAACTGAAGCCTGGTGCTCTATCCTCCAGAGTAGGACCTCTACGGACCACACATTCCCAGGCTGCTGCTGGAAGCGCCTGCTGCAGGCTTTCTTCGAGGTCACGTTTCATCTTTAAAATGCTCATGGATTTTGCATTCTCATCTATAATATACGTGTATTTATATTAATGTGAGCTAATGTTTTCTCCCAACTATTAAAAGCTCTGCGCTTTATCCTTTGGCTTCCAATGCCCCACGGCACACCAGAGGTTGTATGGATCCCAGTGGCTCCCATCAACTTTTCACAAGCCTGGCCTCCCTGGCACCCTCTCCAGACAAACTCACTGTAGCCACTCCCTTGAGCCCAGTGACTGGGCTGGGACCTGAGTCAGAAGTGAGACAGAGCACAGTGGGAGGTGGTGAACAAGAGGTGTGGCTGAGGTTCTCTCCTGAATTCCCCATAGCCCCCTGACCTTGGCTCTGAGGAAGCCTCTGCTGGTGGAGGCCTTCTGTGGTCACCCTCTGCCCACCCTGGGGCTGGCAGCAGTTTCTCACCTGCTGGTGATGGCTGTGTCAGATGCTGGGGCTGAGCCATGGGTTCTGCTGGGGAGCTGCTGGGCTGCGGCAGACATGGGCATGCGGATGCTGATGGGGCGGGGAATCCGGCTCCGGGTGGCAGCTGCCCGCCCGGCTTTTCTGGGCAAGGCAGCTGCGGGCTCAGAGGCGGGTGTGTCCTCCTCGGAGCCTGTGCCTGAGAGTGTCTCAGAGGCCCGGCGCTGCTCCTCACTGGAGGAGGATGAGGCCCCCGAGGCCAGCCGCAGCAGCAGGCGGCCCTGCCTCTTTTCCATCACCAGCCGTGCCAGGTCTTGCTGCGGCCGGGCCCTCTTGCTCCACCGCTCTTTGGCAGACAGTGAGCCTGAGGGCTCCGAGCCTGTGTCCTCCTCAGACAGCAGGACAGGGATACGGCTCCTGGGGCGAGGGCCTGGCACGGAATGGCAGCTGGGGGAGATGGTGGCCATTTTCTCAGGACCTGGCTCCAGTGAGGACACTGGGGCTGGCCCATCAGCAAGGGCTGGGCCGTTGGGCCGTGAGTCCATGGCCACCTCCGAGGGGGATTCCCCAGGGGGGCCAGACAGAGCACAGTTCTCCATCTCAGCCCCATCCAGCACTGACAGGGCTATGCCATTCTCCACAGGCAGTGGGGCCCCCTCCACTGCAGCGCCCCCATCAGAGGGCACCTCCAGACCCAACTCGCCCCTAGCACTGAACTCCTCAGGCCGTGAGATTTGTCCGCCAGAAGACATGACATTGAGGAGGGTTTTCTCTGCAATGTGCACAAAGGTCCTCTCAACTTTGGTGAAGGGTGAGGAGGTGACTGCCATTCCCCCTGCCCCTGTGGTCACTGCTCCGGCCGCTGGCCCTGCCCTGGGCCCAGGGGGCTTGGGCTCAGACTTGAGAATGGAGGACAGGGTGCCTGGCTCAGACACATCCAGCTGGCTGCCGGTGGGCTGGGGCCGCTCGTGCTGAGGAGTGAGGGCAGCCAGGGTGCCCAGGTCAGGGTCGGGGGCCAGTTCGGCAGTAACAGGCGACTTCTTCATGTCACCAGGGGAGACGAGCACCAGCGTTTTGGAGCCCTCCTCAGGCTCCAGGTCCCCTTCGGCCATGGAGGCCCGGCCCCTGGACTCCTTCTGATCGTCAGCCAGTAGTGTGGATGGGGCACCCTCCTGGCTCCGGTCGGTGCTCCTCTCGCTCCCCTCACTGCAAGAGCCACTGCGAGGCCCCAGCACCTCCTCCAGGGCCACTGCCTCCTCCTCCTCCTCCTCTGCCTCTCCCTCCTCCTCCTCTTCTCCTTCCTCTTCTTCCTCCTCCTCTTCTTCTTCCTCCTCTTCTTCCTCCTCCTCTTCTTCTTCCTCTTCCTCATCTTCCTCTTCTTCCTCCTTCCCATTAGCTTGAGGCTGAATAGGAGCAGGTGGGACCTGGGGGGTGGTGAGCAGCATGTGCGAGAAGCCCACCCTCCGGACCCTGTTGAGCAGCCGTGCCCGTTCTCGGTAATCGGAGAAGTCTCTCTTGAAGTCCTGGTAGGGCAGACTCAGAGGCACAGCTCGTGGGAGGCCGTTCACCTCAAACAGGGGCGCCACAGAGAACACCTGCAAGGGGCACACACAGGGACCCTCTGAGTTCACACACCCTCCTGGACCTGAGAAGATCTCAACTGCACCCACAAGCTAGGAGACCCCCATGCCCCAGGAGCATCCACCAGACAGTGAGCTCCATGAAGGTAGGCCCTGGGTCTGTTTTGTTCATTGTTCTATTCTCAGGGTCGAGAATGGTCCCTGGCACCTAGTAAGCGCTCAGTAAATCTCTGATGAATGGTTGTGTTCACACTCCAGGCCTTAAGTTCCAGGCTCTGATCCTGGCTTTTCTGTCTCCCTGTCCTCTCCATTTTCTCCACACTTGTCCTTCCTGGTGGCTCCCTAGCCACCGGTCTGCTCTCTTCATCCTACACTGCCATCCATCCTTTTTACTGCTGCCTGTGTGATCTTCCTGAAACTTATCTGTCTGTGCCTCAAACCTACAGTGGCCCCCGCAGTCCTCAGAAGACAATTCCAATCCTTGGCTTGGCACATGAGCAACCCCCACCCCCACCCATGATAGGGTTCCCACCTCCTGCAGCACCCTCTGATCTCTACCCTATGTCCAGCCGTTCTGATGCTATGAGATGCATGTCAGCAGTTCCCTAAATGTATCATGCATCTCACAGTGTGCCCAGGAAGATTCCTCTGCCTGGGGGGTCCATCTCACCCCTTCTATTCAAATGATAAAGTCATATGCTTCCTCCAAGACCAGTTCAAACAACTCCTCTTTGGCAAAGCCTTCCTGTCCACTTTTCTGTCCACCCACCAAGCAGACATCACTAGTCTCTCCTTTCTACTTGTTTTCCCACATCCTTCCATTAGAGAACCTTCTACCCTGTATTTTATATGCATACATTTACCTGGGTCTCTCTCCTGAGAAACACTGAGCCCCTTGAGGGTTTTTTCATACACTCATTTTTTCATGCATTCACTCATTCAAGAAATAGTCCTTGAATATCTGTTGTCCTGGTTACCATGTTACAGGCTATGAATCTGTAGATCAAGTGTTGAACAAGACAAATCTTCGTTTTCATGGAGGGTGCAATGTCTATATCAGGAAATGAAATGGGGATAATGCACATTCCACAAAGGCTGTGATCATACATGAGATCATATAGGCAATGAGCCTGCATGTACCAGTTGCTCAATAAATGTTGGCTCCCTCCCACCCCTACCTCCTACCCCCCACTCTGCTCACCCTGGTCTGGAGATCATTGCTTTCCTCCCCAAGAAAGCCTGGGTGCCACGTGTATGGGGGATAGGATATGGGAAAAGGAGGTGCTCTGCCAGCTGAGGCTTCTGTGCAAATAGCACAAAGTCTAGAGTAGAGGAAGGCAAGAATCTCCAAGGCCGAGGATCTGCCCAAGGCTGTGACTTCTACCCTCCCCAACTGCCATAATCTTCCTTGTGATCACACCACCCATGAGGACTTGATGGGGGCCGGGGTAAGTGATGCAAGAGGGTAGCATCAAACCCGAACAGGACCCCAGCGCACCCTGTTTGAGCCAGGCAGGGAACTTAGAATGTTGTCCTCTCCACTTCCAGGCTGAAAGTCCCTAGCAATTGTTTTCTTTTTCAACACCATTCATTCATTCTTATTCACCCATTCATTCTTTTAGCAAACATTAAGCACTGACTCTGTTCCAGGCCTTGTATTGGGGCAGTCCAATATTTGCCATGTCCAGTTACCAATGGTAAAGCTAGAGAAAATGGTTGGGCAAAGGTGGAGGGGGCTGCTGTAAGGTCCTGGGTGAGTTGGGACCATGGGGTAGGTGCTGGCATTGAAAGCCAGGGAGGGACAGGGAGACAGACACAGAATTCTGATCATGTCTCTCTGCTGTCCAGCTCAGAACTCACCCACCCAGCACCAGACACATCTGACCCAGCAGGGATGTCCTTTGACCCCACCTGGTCACCTTTCTCTGGAGAACCTCTGCCTATTTTCCCTGTCTGATCTCTGACACCTTGGACATTCCTTTTAGAACCACCCTTTCCTCTGCCATCTGGCCAGGCCCTGGATCTCTCTGGACAAGACCCATCCAAAGGATAGGACGCCCACACTGCATGATTGTTGGTGGAACCCTCTCTCCTTCCATCTCAAGGCCCTCCCCTCCTATGACCTCGCAGAGAATAGGAATGAGAACTGAAAATTGGTCATCAGTCATAAAATAAGACTGGGAAACTGAAGCCTGGAAAGAGGCATTGGCTTGGGCATGAAGCACATCAGCCAGGGTGGCCCAGTACTCAGAACTCTTTCTGGTGTCTCACTGGCTTCCCCCCTGCATCCCATGTGGGGAAACCTGGGACCCTCTGCCCTTTGGAAGGAGGGGCTGTGAGTCTTACAGCTCTGCTGTAAGGACCACTGTCACCCCCAACACCAGCCTATGCGTGCTGGTGTTGTTTTCTGTTTCAAAGTCCCTCTGCCCCTCTCCCACCTGGCTCCATGTTGGGGAACGGTAAGGCCTGGGCCCAAGTTCCTCCCTCCTCAGATAGTAGCCTAACCCTCTCCTTGCCCCCATAGTAGCCTAACCCTCTCCTTGCCCCCATGGTTGCCCAGTGAGTTATTCATCCTTTCACCCACTTGATCTTGTGTTCAGTGATCACTACACACCCTCTGTGTGTCTGGCTCTATAAGCCTGAGGACACCATGGGAAGAGCATAGCAGTGACCCTGCCACCCTGTCCCAGCTCAAAGGAAGCAGTTGTGCTGGGTGTCAGCAAAGGATAGTCGGCACCTGACGAAGCTCACCCTTTGCTCCCTTCCTAGGGCAGCAATCCCCAGCGACCCTTTATGATTTCTATTTGCTTATTGTAGCTCCCAAACCTGGTTTGGTACTGCATTATCTGGGGGTGCTTTTTATAAATACAGATCTCTAGGCCCTATCCCTCCAGATTCTGATGGTCAAAGGTGAGGCCCAGAAATCTGTTTTAAAGCTCCCTAGTGATGCTGATGGAGTTTAGAAAAAGAAGTGGTAAGAGTTGGATCATCAGTGGGGGGTGGGAAGCAGGCCATTCAAGCCTGGGACCCTCAGAGAGAATGAAAGCCCCAGCCTGCCTCCTCTCTCCATTGAGCCCAGTCCAGAGGGCTGAGGGCCTGGCCTCACCAGCTTCAGAGCCCAGCCTAAGATCACGTTTAGTCAGCAGGAAAAGTGAAGGGAGGGGGATGGACCACACCCTGATCTTTCCCTGCCACCAACAAGACTGGGCTCTCGTCAGCCTTTACATGTTACCTCACATACCTCCATCCCCACAGGGGACATGGAGCAACTCTCCTGCCTAGCCAAGCTCAGACACTGGGCACTGCACACAGTCCCAAAGTCAAGGAAGGGGGACTGGGAGGGGCTGAGTGACAAAAAAAGAGGGGTAAGCCCTGACACCCCTGGACCACACTAGGTGGGGGAGGAGGGGCTTTGTGCCTCTCATAGCAGTTCCTCCCCACCCCAGAAACTGCCCAGTGCACACTGCCCATCTCCCCTCCTCTACTCTGGAAGGCAAAACTCCCTGCAGAGCCACCCCCAACACCCCAACCATACCAGAATTGCCCAGTCTGAGAAGAGATGTCCACCATGTAGCCTCTGTCAGCTCTTCTGCCCACCATCACCTTTCCCAGATTCTTCACCTGTTTCTGTCTGTATCTTCACACTCAAAACATCTCTGCCAAACCAAGAGCCCTCCCTCTGCTCCTCCACCCCACACCCAAGAGTGCCACCCAGCCCAGGTGGGCGCTCTGGCCAGTGAAGGGGGGAAGGTGGCAGAAGAAGTAAGATGACCTAGAACGTGGCTGCCTGCCCTAGGTCCAAACAGAACCTCACATGCCTGACCCCCAGATCTCAATGTCCCCAACCCATCCCCTTAAGAAATGCAGTAGTAGCCATTCTTCTGCCTCCACACTCACTCTAGGCCCAAGGAAGAAAAGTGCCTTCTTTTGCAGTGCCCCAGAAAGGGGTGAGGGACAGAGAGAGAGAGGGAGAGCGCTCATCCCCTTTCACCCTCTCTCCCTGCAATCTCAGAAGTCTCTGTAATTCTTTCCTTCCTGTCCCACCCCTCTCATTGACTTAGTCCTCCTTCAACCCACATTTCATCCCTGCACCCACCAGACTCTGCACAATCCATCCCCTTCAACAGTCCATTCCGCTCCCCCCCCCCCCCCCCCCGCCCGGGG